GAATCTAGATTATTGTTTTTAAACGCTCTTATATGTTCGTTAATGCGTTTCTTGAAGGATCTATCTGTTTGACCAATATAAATTTTAGGACAAGATCCACATTTCAACCTGTAGACACCTGATTTTTGGGATTTTGGACATTTCGATTTATTGTTTTTTAAATATTTTCCTATTGTGTTGTTAGTTCTGAAAGCTATTTTTAATCCACATTTTAACAAGTGTTTTGAAACTTTTTCGCTAGGTTCTCCTAGTATGTAATTGTTTTAAATTGTTCGTGTTCTGTATTTGGTTTCGAATAAATAGAGTTTACTGTTGTCTGTATTTGTTTTTTATTTATAATTTTATCTATAATGGACGGATTGTAGCCGTTGTTCAGTGCTGTTTGTTTAATGATATTAAGTTCTTTGTTGTAATTTTCTATTGAGGGTGGTGTATTAAGAAGTCTGTGTATAAAAGAGTTAAATGCAGCCATTTTGTGTGTATAAGGGTAATTTGAGCTGTTATGTATGACTGTGTCCGTGTGTGAAGCTTTATGATATATTGAAAAATTTAATTTGTTTTGCACTTTCGTAATAGTTAAGTCTAAAAAATTAATAGAGCTATACTGTTCAATCTCGATAGTGAATTTTATACGATTATGTATTGAGTTAATGTAATTTAAAAAAGAATTCAATTGTCTGTCCGTTCCAACAAAGCAAGCAAAGACATCGTCCACGTATCTATACCACCATAAAAAACTTTTACTTAAAGGATGTTCTAGTATGATATTTTCCAAATTATCCATAAAAATCTCGGCTAACAAAGGACTAAGTGTGTTTCCCATAATCAAACCTTCTTTAGAGGTATAAATCTGTCCATTAAATTCAAAACAATTTTGGTCTAAAGATACTATTAAGCAATCTAACAAATCTTGTTTCACCAATGGGTTAACCTGTTTCCGAGTTAGGGTAAAATCTACTAAAACTATCACATCCATAGGTGGAATACTGGGAAATAAGTTTTGTACATCAAAAGACAATAGAGTTGCGTTAGAAGGGATTTTGATATCTTTAATTTTGTTGATTTATTCAAAAGAATTTTTTATTGGAAATTTTGTTTTAAATTTGTGTGGAACTTTAAAATATTTACTAATTTTGTAGAGAGTTTAACTGCTGGAGCTGTTACATAAGACACCACTGGTCTAATGGGCATATATTGTTTATGTAATTTAACTAAAGAATATAATTTAGGCGGTTGTGGATTCATAATTGTTAAAAAATATTTGTCTTTGTCACTAAATAGTGTGGAATTAGTAATTACATCCTTGACTTGTCTTTGATATAATTCAATAGATATATATATATATATATATATATATATATATATATATATATATATATATATATATATATATATATATATATATATATATATATATATACTCAGTAGGATCGTGTTTGATACAAAGGAAAAGTTCTGGTTTAAGAAAATTGTTGGTTTTTGAAATATATATATATATATATATATATATATATATATATATATATATATATATATATATATATATATATATATATATATATATATATATATATATATATATATATATATATAATTTTTTAGCGAAACACAAATATTACGTTTGTTGTAAGGATATTTAATAACACTCGAAAATTTCATAAAAATTCTTTTTAAGTAACCAAAGCTTTGCTAATTAAAATAGGCGAATTAAGAAATAATAATTTTTTTAAAAATCTTCCAATGAAGAGAAACATATAATCGCAGATAACCATAAAAAACTTAGTAAAATAAATAATAATATTAATAATGTGGATCAATTTATAACCACAAAAATAAATTTTAGCAAACTATGAATAAAAGCACATTTAGAAAGCAGAAAAAATAAAACAATTAAAAATAAATTATTAAAACACTTCTTCTGTATGTCCACCACTGACTTCATTTTCCTATAAACTTAAATTTAGGGAACTATTGGTTGGTTAACTTTAAAGCAGACACACAAGTGTGCGTGAGACATTTAGTTTTAAGATAGGGGGAGTTAATGTTTTATTTTGTTTTGATTTTTTCTAAATAATCTGAATTAATGCTCGATTTTTTTTTCTTTTTTTTGCAATTCCACAAATTTTAACAAATGGAATTATTATTTCAAGATTTACTCTAATTCATAGGCAGGTAGAATGGTTTTTAATAAAGTTAATGTAAATCGCCAATAATTGCGGCCCAAACATCGAAAGAAAACTGTTCTTGGAAATGATTATCTAACAGAACCTGTGGATTACGTCTAAACGTGGTTACCATGAAAATTAATTTTCGAAATTCTAAAAAATAAACTTCACCAAAGATATAAATATTATTTTAAGACGTCTACAACTTGTTTTACAAAATCTATTGTTGGCTATTGGCTATTTTTAAATTGTAAAGGGATGTTTTCAATGTAGCTTTGGACGAGGAAACCAAATCGCCAAAGAGACTTCGCCATCTTGGCCGTCTATATAAGTATACCCTGTATATTTTTATCTCTCCGAACAAACCAATTAACCGTTTTGGATATACAGAGGGTTTAGTTCGTCAATGGTCATTTTAAGTGTCTCGCTCGACATAGATTCTTCCCTGTTCACTATTTTCAAATTGAAAAAAGCATTTTTCAGATCTTGAGGAAGACCAATCAGCAACTCCTGGAATTTCGATGTAAACAAAACCCTGTATATTTTATGTCTACAGAGAGGCCTTTCAATTCTGAATTCAAAAATGTTGGGCACTTTGAAAACCCCATTTTGGTTAGTTCGTCGATAGTAGAAAATCGGTCTAAGTGCTCTATAAAGAGCTCTAGAACCGCCAGTATCTCGTGGCTGCAATGTGAACGCAGAAAATGTCTTTTAGTATTCAAAAATAGCAATTTTTAGTGAAATACTTGAAATGACGTCAGCACATGCCATCTACAAGTTAGAGTAAAGTCAAATTCGAATTTCGCAAGTCAAGAGATCACCAAGACCAAAAAAACAAATATAGATAAACAGCCTTGTGCTAACTCACAAATGTATATGATCCGTTTGTCTTAAAATTAATCAAGTAATTATTCCTCAAAGATAAGATGTTATTCAGCGCATGGAGGATCGAATAAAAAAGAAACAAAAGGCTCGCATTTATTATCATATTTTTACGGCCAACGGAAAAGGCTAGGCAGTACGGAACAAACGACTAGTTTTTTGTAAGAGCATTTTTTTTCTTCGCCGTCTAGGAGGTCAAATGATGGAAGCACGCTGACCCCAATTTTGTTTATTTTCGAAGCAGGTACCGTTTATAAGTCCTGCGCGTTGTGAACTTTTCAATTTTGCCAAAACTTGAAACCACATTTTACGAATTTATATCTATATAATTAGGTTAGCCATATGGCTCAAAATTGCTTCATATATCTTTATTTATTTTATTGAGGAAATTTTTCTGAAACAAAGCATATATTTATTTTATTTTTATTATAATATTTAATTAAATCAAATAGAAAGATACATTTTGACGCAAATAAAAGTTATTTTGAACTTCTATATCTTACGTTTCGTGAAATATTTCTCCCTATCTTGAATTTATATCTAAATGATAATTAAGTTTCCTCATATATCTTTATTTATTTATTATTGAGATAATTTTCCTGGAAAAAACCTTTTTAATTGTCACGGTTCCTTTTTTCAAAAAATACTTATTAATTTACTAATTCGGACTCTGCAAAATTTGTACTTGAAATAAATTGACAATTTACACCTCAAAATTTACGCGACAGATGTAACAGATGCAAAAAAAAAAATTCTCTAATTAATTAAATTCATGAAACTGTTGAAAAATCAGATTCTCTAGCGTATCTCTCTCATACAGTGTCACATATCTTTATTAACCTATTATTTTTGAGAAAAATTTTCCAAAACAAAATTTTTTAAGTGCCAAGCTTAAAAATAAGAACCGTTTGTTTGTTGTCTTGCAAAATTTGTACTTGAAGTACTTGAATAAATTGACACTCTAGCCCTAAAACCGTACGTAACAGATTTCAGGAATGAAGACAATTAGTTATTGGCTGAAAACCCCTACGATTTTGGAAAGAAGATAAAGTTTTTTTAATAGAAAAATTTACACTACAAGCGTCGTCCAATCAACATATTCTTCTGTATTTCACATTTCAGAGAACCTTTCACCTCACCTTGAATTTATATCTAAATAATAATCAATTAATAAAAAATAAGTAAACGACGTTAATAGCATCGAATGAAAATGAAATGTTCAAGCGTATCTCTAGAAAATATATCTTTATTTATTTGCAAGTGTCACGAGTAAAAATAAGAACCCTTCTTTAAAAAAATACTTTTTTTTACTAGTTTACCTTTATTATTATTTTGAACTTATATACTTAAAATTTGGCAAAATAAGTATATTTCCTCATCTCTATTTATTTGTTTTTGAGGAAAATTTTCTAAAACAAAAAAAATTTTCAATGCTGTGAGCATTTTCACGTTTGCCTTTGCCTTTCAAAATTTGAATTCGAAACAAATGATTGAAATTTTAGTCCTAAAATTATACGTCGCAGACGTAACAGATGTATACAATAACATTATTATTATACAGTGTGGTCCAAACTAGATTTACAAGCTTCTAATCCAAAACGATACGTAATGTAAATATTTTCAAGCAAAAAAAAAATATTTTAAACTTCTATACCCAACGTTTCGCAAAACCTTTCACCTCACCTTGAATTAGTATTTAAATAATAATTAACGGAATTTAAAAATATATACTTATAATTTATTTCTTAATTTTATTTATTTACTAATGTGGGCCCTTACAGGTCTAGATGTTTTAGATATTTGATATTTGAATTTGCCTTTAAAAATTTGTACTTAGAGTGGATGTTGCTTGTTACTATATACCTTGCCATTAAATTATTCATCTTGAATAAAGAATAACTTTTTATATTTATATTAATAACTTTATACGAGTGGAGAGAATAAAAGACTTACCTAGCTTAGATTTCCCTCGCAGCCGCCGTACAGCAAACCCACAACAGAATAAACTATCCCCTACGCGAAATCTAAGAGACTCAGATGTGGACTATACGGGACACGTTCGCGGGCAGATATCAGAACCTTGACAATAATACTTTCTTACTTAAAGCTCGAGATACGGAAAAGAGTGGTACCGACCCGTGGTACCTTCTGGTCGACGTGACAAGTACCATTCTGCCACACACGCTTTATACCAAAACATTAAGATCATTCCGACATTGAACTATCCTCGTTTCTAATGCTCGGCGGGATGTATTTGGGTTACGCCGCCATTGTGCGAATGCACCTTCAAATTTCAATCGAACCCATTGTTTGAGACGTCGCGATGTCCCATGTTTTAATTATAATTAATTTTAAGTGTTTAATTGCAAACACTGCTATCTTGATCTTCTTATGCTTCTAGTAACCATAGTCTGAAGTTGATATCAGTTCAGATCTTCTTCGTATCTGTAAAAGGAAAGAGGGAACTTTCTATCAATATCAAAAAGTCTTTACTGAAGATAATGAAACGATATGACTCTTCTTAGTCATTAGAAAGTCAAATAAGTGCCCAACAACCCACGTGAAAACCTCACGTCGATGTATTTATCTAAAATCTAGGATTTAATAAAAACAAGAAATAAAGACAATGGAAGTTCTAAAATCTCTTAGTATTTTCAAAGAATTGTTGTGATTGTCTCAATCTTCATCGTGCTGGCTTTTGTCTGCAATTATGGAAGTTACCTGCCGACGGGAATTAAGCCCGGATCCGGCAGGTTAGTCTCCTCACACTGTTATCAAATTCTTCAAGACAGAATTAATTCAGCACTTGCACTGCTAAATAGCTGGTTTAACACCAACGAACTCTTTGTGAATGTTTAAAAGACAAGTGTACTGATATTCAAATGCCCACAAAACAAAAAAGATCTTTCTGTGAATGTCTGGTCGGGCGGGGAGGCTGTTGAAATAAAAAAACACGCTAAATTTTTAGGACCAGAACTCGACTGTTTTGGGAAACTCAATTCCAATTACTTTCTTTAAAGCTGCATAGTTATTGTTTCCTAATAAAAAATTTAAAAACTGTTCTGACTAGAGAGTGATAAACGATGGGATGATAAATTTCTGCTATGGTCACATCTATTCGAGATTACTCTATGGTGTTCCTTTTGGGAAAATTCAAGTCTGTTCTCAAATTCCCAAAAAAGAGTCCTATGGTGTATTGCTGGAGTGTTGCCGGATAGTTCGTGCAGGTCCCTCTTCCGGGAGTTTCAAATACTGCCTTTACATATTAGAAGTTTGTTTATGGGTATATAAAAATAAAAATACCTTACAAAAAAACGGAGATTTTAGTGACTATAATAAACGTAACAAAGATTGTTTCTCCATAAAAAAAAATAGACTAGAATTTTGAAAAAAATATTTTACGAACACCGGTATTAGAGTCTACAATAGACTGTCCCCAGAGCTAAAGAGCAGTAGTAATGTAAACATACTTAAATCCAAACTAAAGTTTTTTCTCCTAGAAAACTGTTTTTATAATTTAATCGAATATTTTTCCTATTAATGTTTGTCATCACTGTATCGTTGTGCTTTGTCATATATTTCTATTATATTAATTTTTAATGTAATATTCTGCCTCACTTGAGGAAATCCATAATACACTGATTGTATTCTAAATATGTGGGATAATAAAGATATTAGAGTAAGATCACGTCAAGTGGACCCCCCATTTACCACTTGATTATAAAAATTTAATCTGTATATATTTTTTATAAGTACTTATGTAAAATTGATCCCCCAAATGATTTTTTAAAATTTTGATTTTAACAACATTTTTTTTATAATTTTAAGCACTTTTAATTAAAACACGGATTAAAAAAAAATCAACCGGAAGAGATAAATTTCTGAAATTTTCAGCATCCATGGTCAAATAAATGTCTATACTTTAAGAATATATCAACGACTTAAAATTATTTATTTATTTTCGTATTGTTAACTAACTTTTAAGTTAACAAATGAAAATTTAACTGATTTCTTGGTAAAAAAAAATCTGTTTTTTTATCGGTCACATGCCTTATCCATTTAGGTTTAATTCCGGAAGACGATTTCACGGCTCGTCATTAGTTTAAACAAAATGAATTTATTTATGACAGTGCGCCGGGCGCCGAGCGTCGCGCTGCCGAGCGTCTCGAACTGCATTGAGGGTTTTATCGGTGATAATTTAAAATAATAATAGTTAATAATAATAATAATAATTGCATTATAATTATTATTAATAATTTTTTTTTAACAATGTTATAAAGAATACTATCAATTTTTTTTTATTATTTTCACCAAACAGCGTAAATTTAGAAAAAAATAATCAACTTTAAATTTTTGAAACTGTTATGGTCTATATTTACTTTTTCTAGGTAATATAAATTATTATTTTTTAATTTACTAGTCAACACTCCATCTTTACTTAACAAAAGAAAAACCGCTCCGTTACGTTTTCATTTGTTTTTCGGAAATAACATATACACATATACATACATACATACATACATACAATAACATATATATATATATATATATATATATATATATATATATATATATATATATATATATATATATATATATATATATATATATATATATATATATATATATATATATGATGACACTATATTCCGGGATATCATCCGTTCGCTCGTTGAACTCCGACTGGAATCCTGCATCCGACTGGAATCCTGCAAATCTTGCATCCGACTGGAATCCTGCAGACGTTTCGCCAAAATCTCACTTGGCATCTTCAATGCTCGCGCTCCGAAAACACTTTGAATACTCAAAGTGTTTTCGGAGCGCGAGCATTGAAGATGCCAAGTGAGATTTTGGCGAAACGTCTGCAGGATTCCAGTCGGATGCAAGATTTGCAGGATTCCAGTCGGATGCAGGATTCCAGTCGGAGTTCAACGAGCGAACGGATGATATCCCGGAATATAGTGTCATCACATTTTTCCATCCGTGAATCAATACGTGAGAATATATATATATATATATATATATATATATATATATATATATATATATATATATATATATATATATATATATATATATATATATATATATATATATATATACATACATGCATATATATATACATACATACATACATATATATAACATACAATAACATATATACATATACAAATAAGCATTTCTTCAAGGGTCCAAATAGTTCAACACTCTAGAAAATCGTTTCTGCTTCGAAAACGGTAGCTACGAGGGCTGCTACTTATATTGTTAGCCTAATAATGAAAAAACAATTAGTTTTATTGTTTTTCATAACATCCGTCCTCTGATAGCGATTTATTGAAAAATAAAGTAAAAAAAAATAAAAACATCGTTTTATTTGGTCAGGCCGGAAACTTTTCACCCCATCCTCGTATATGCAATATCCTATCTTTTAAGTACCTGTAAACAAATATGATTGTAGATCGAAACGTTCTGAGAACTTTTATGCTGAAAAATATTAAGTTTTTCACTGCTCACAAATATAAGTAGCAGTAGAGTAGAGTAGATATTTATTCACTAATACCAATACAAAAAAGGAAAGTTTCTTAGATAAAAAATCGCAATATGTCTAAATATTTTTAACATTTTAAAACAAAAAAATATTATACAGGACAAATACAAAATTTTACGGGAAAAATACCAACAAAATTTTTTTTTTTTATTTTTATCTAATCATATTATTCATATAATTATAGTATTCAAATAGATTATAAAAATATGAATTGGCCGTAACTTAAAGATGATTTTTTATAGCAATGGTTATAAAAAAAAATTATTTCTATCTCTAATCGAGTAAGATCTTGTTTTCAAAGTTGTCTTTATTTTTGTGCATATGAATTAATAGTTTCAGTAACTAAAATAACTGACGTGACAACATCCCGCAACAGGCGTAAATATAGAAGCGGCAACACTGCATACTTGAATATATTTTGGGGCGATAGAGCATCTCTTCTCATCACTCTGTATAATTTACAGTGAATGTGGAACTAATCAATACATTTAAATTGTTTTTCGTAATACGACCTCAGTATCGACACATCATTAAGGAATACGCAGCTTTATCCGCGAAAATAGTCGGCAAAGTGCTAAAAATATCCGAAGAAAACAACGAATCCATCAAATCAGACGAACCGCGGCTCGTTGCTTTATAATTGTCGTCCTTCGGATAGAATACGAAATGGGTGTTCTATTTTTGTCAAACTCGCCGCGGGACTATCCCAACCGGCGTTTCAATGAACTGGCACTTCGTTACAATGGTAATTGTTCGAAATTTAGTTCAATGATTTTCGCGTAGGATCTGGAGCGTATAATCAAATTGTTTACTTCTAACAATCGCGTTCGGGAATTGATATTGACCCGAGCTTGCGCTAGCCGCGTCCTTTTCCGTCGCTCGAATGGAATCTAAAGACTCGTGAATTCTTTTACGACTGTCGGGAAATAATTAAAATCGTTTTCATTTAAGTGGCGGATGCGCCGGGTCCAGTCGCCCATCGAATTGGGTACCGCAAGAAATTTTATGGTCTTCCGATTTATGTAAATCGATGAAGTTGTATAGAAATGATCAGGGTCGAAAAAACAATCTTTTTTTCAATCTCTGTCCATTGTCCGTTTCCCTGAATCTGAATTAATTAGATATAACTTTCGCACGGTTTCACATACGATGTTCAAATTTGGCTTCTTTTAAGCAGTCCACGAAAGACAAGTCAATAAAAAAAACGCGATTGGACCTCGGCGTCCATCTTTTTTTTTCGATTTTTGACTTCTTTTGGGCATTGCTATGGAACACGATAAGTGTCCGAAATTTGAAGCCCTAGGGGGGGGGGGACGTTTGCAAGGATCCACGAAAAAAAATATTTCTCAAAAACCGTTTACGCTACTGAAAAAGTTTTGAAACGAAAAAATGCAGAAAGTTCGCCTTAATAAACTTTTCTTACTGAAATTTTCTCGGAGAAATTCATATACCAGAAAATGTGGGAGATTCAGGGCTATAACCTCCATTTCGAACATTGCTTGAATTATATACAGAATATGTCGTCGCAGAAACTCTAATATATCCCAAAAATTTCCATTTTTGTGGGTAAATTATTGGTGGTAAATTAAAAACGTCAAAAGACGGGCTATTTTGAATGAAGAAAAATGTGTTTGGGAATCGCAAATATTGCTAAAAATTTTGGTATTTACCCAATTTTAACATGACTTGGAAGTTTGCTTGTTTGAAGGACTCTTTATTCAGGGTGCTTACATATTAAAATTACATTCATTTTGAGAATGTTTCAGAGTGGTTTGCTGGAGCACGATAGAAAAACAATGCGTTCTCCTAGGAGAAGAAGCCGCTAAGTTGTTTTGTATTACATTTGGGTTTTAAGGTAATATGTGCAGTCTTGAAAATTACTTACTTACGAAAATTGACAAAGTAAACAACACCATCTAGCGCCGAAATAAGCGATTTAAATAAATCTGCTCACGGCAGCGTTGATAAAGCCATTACAAAGTTATTGACACTATTTAGAAACATTCAGGATTCCTTTTGGGTTTGTTGTTTATAAATCAAACTTGCTGGCTTCCCGCCAATCATCCTGTCGGCTCGCATTCGACTCAGTACCTACTTATATATTGTTTGGAGGGGGCGGAGCCAAAGGAGGGGCATGACCATTGTCTCGGATGCCTGAGTCGCAAATTTGGTTGTCTATAAATTACTACGAATTCTCGGATTATTCTTTGGTACAAGAATTGATTGCACGCAAGAAAGAGAGGCTCTTTTATGTTCTTTGAGCCTAATTGATAATTTTCTTCCTGCTGTAAACTCCTGATATCGAAATTTTGTCCATGTTCATAAGATGGACTAGGGGTAAATCTCGTGGTGATAAGTATGGAATGATGTTTGTGATGGGACGCTTAATATCTTTATTCTGGAAATTATTAGAGAGAAGAGCAGATACAAGGTCTGACAATTCTGGGTTCAGTAATTCGAGTTGAGGTAGTTTTAAAGCTCTATACAGCATTAAACGAAAAATGTCAACTAGAATCAAAGAACACGAGACAAGAGACTGAAAATCAGATGGGGTTGACAATGTGTGACCTTAGCAAGATACTCTATCTCGTACGATCTTCTTAAACAGAAGCTGTTTAGGTATGGATTTCGCTGCGGAACCCTTAAGCTAACAGAATCTTATATATACTAGACAGGGAACAGTTTGTGGGCGATAAGAGACTTAAATCCTCTTTGGTGAAGGTCGCCAGTGGGGTCCCCCAAGGGTCCGTACTCGACCCTGTATTTCTTATAATCTATGTTGTTGATCTATGCCCTTTTTTGGGGTCTGTCAAATGTACTTTATATCACATATCATATAGCACAATGTTATGGGAAAACTCTGTCAATGCTGTTAAAATATTCAGGATGCAGAAAAGGGCTATAAGAATTTTTGCTGGGGCTAAGCACAATGAACACTGTACTCCATATTTTACAAAATATAAGATCATACTGCCCTCTATCATTCTCCACGATCTTTTAGGAATTAACAAACAAACTAATATATTTGAAGGTGTGTCTCATAGTAATCAAACACGTTCAAAAAATCTTATAAGGGTTCCAAAGCACAGACTTGTTACATCAGACAAAAATTCTTTTAACATTAACTTGTACAATATGCTGCCATATAGGTACAGACATATGACTTGTGATGTGTTCAATATTAAAGTGCTGCTTATTGAAAATTGAAAAAAACTAAATTAAAATCCTTGACTTACTGAAATGTGTGAAGATCTTAGCATACTATCTTGCAATTTCTGTACCATTTTTATACTTCGTATTAGTGTTGCTAACCTTTATATTTGTTATCGTTTCTGGTTAATAAAAATTCTTCTTCTTCTTCACGAAAGAGCCTTGTGCGTATGAAATAAACTCTTCACCAGTTGCCGAACACAATGGTGATGCAATCAGTTCTTCTACCAAAGAAAAATCCAAGAATTTATAGAAATCTATAAACAATATGGGAATCAGTCATCGGAGAGAATGTTCCTCCTCTTTTAGCCCCGCTCCCCTCGAAGAATATATAAGCGGGTACAGAGTAGAATGCTAACCAGTATCAGTTGACCTCTGAAGAAGCCAACAGACGATCTGTAAATAGTATTACGGTAGTTTCTGGAAGTTTCTTTGCAAAAATAATAGTGATTGGCATTTATTTCCGGAAATTCCCACTTCCAGGGATAGAGCAAAAACTGCCCTATCGCATTTGTCCTTTTTAGCAATTTTTGATATAGGATTATTTCCCATTAAAAACTCGAGAATTCTATTAAGCCCCCTGGCGGCCATTCCAGAAACTTCTAAATAATTTCATTTTCTCTTGCCAGTTTTAAAATGAATCCCGAAACAAGAAACTTTAGGATTTTATTTCACCAATAACATCACCTCCAATTTAAGTTTATTTTACCATTTTCTCTAAATACGACATAAGATGAACATGTGCAATCAGAAGAAAGAGTAGACAATAAAATTAGTATTTTGTTTTGTAAGTAAAAGTTTGAGTAGCATAGCTGTTAATCGCGGAGGAGTGAATATAGCTTTGTGACCTAGTAATTGCAGATTTCTCATATTCACGCTGGTAAAGTCTGTTCATAGATATAAGAAAGTGACTAACTGATACGAATTAAGGAGAGACCCGGGCAAGCTGCAAGAATGACATATGGCCGAACAGGTCCGTACTTTGCTTAGAATTTAATTATTTCGGGTTTTGTTAGGAAAGATACTAAACAATATTTATTTATTTATGTATGTATTTATGTTTAAATCTAAAATAAAATAAAAAATTATTTTTATTACCTACTTAAATTAATTAAAATTATTCACATAATATATCAGTATCACTATGGCTATCATCGCATGTTTAATTATTATTTGTTCTATATTATTTGCAATATGGATATACGATTGTTCTGCTTTGCATTGTCCATTACAATTACGCTATTAGGAGGAAAGTTTGGAAATAGTTTGTTTTTAAACCAACTTCCAAATAAATGAGTGTTTTCATGGTAATCCAGAGAAGAATCTTTAATATTTTTCGCAGACAGAAAAAGTCCATTTGGAATCCATCTTTAGAGCCAGCATGCAAAATAATTATTCTTTTACCTCTTTTTGATGGCGCGTTTGTTTTACACTTATCAGTTGAGTCAACCCAACCCTTTTCCGGGGTATCATAAGTGTCGAACCAGGTTTCATTCAAGTTTATAACTTCCTTAGTCTCAATAGAATAGTATTTTCTACATGAGGGCGGGAGCATCTCCTGAGATACACTAGACTCGCACATATTTTGCATAATTCGCACACGATTCAACACACGCTGTATTACACACGAAATATGGATGATTACTAATAAACTTAAACTAAGTAGTACCAACCAAACAATATTAAACACAGGTAGGCATGAAATTATTTTGTATTACGGACCACAATTTTACCTGAATTTAAATTCCGAAACTTTAGGTATTAATCTTGTTGCATTGTATGTTAATCCACCCTTGGATAATCCAATCCAATCCAACCCAGAAGCTATTGGCCACTTTCTTATATCTATGAACAGACCATACCAAGGCCACATGACATTGGATATCCCGAGTGACATAATTGCTTGTTGACAACATTAATAATACACCTGGATGATTTTGGATTATTAAGGCATCCTTTTAGAAATATCTGAATTATAGTTATATGTGTTAGCTGGACATTTGAAGTTAAAAACAACAAACTAATTTTAGAATGATACTGTCTTTTTTGTTATTTAAAAGAAAAAATCTGTTTATCGCAATAAAAAATGCGTTTGATGAAAATTTACGAAGCAGAAGGCGCGAATAACAATCACAAGCCATCTCTATGGAGTGTCGAATATTTGTTTGGTACAAGAATTAATTTCCCACAAGAATTTTAATTTGATCGAATGAGATGTGATATCGGGTTTCATGGTTATTTCGGCCATGGCTGATGAGCTTATTTGTCCTAGTCTTAGAGCTCTTTCATTTCATTTATTCTGGTTGATGTTTTTCGACATGTCGCTTCAATGAATTTTTTGTGATAAGGTCGAATTAGGATCATCATAATTTTGATTTTAGATAAAAGATTTCGAGGGCTTTATTCTCAAATATATAGCTGTTATTTGTTCATAAATTTGAGAGTTACAAAACAACCCATCAGCAGGAATTCAAAAGATTTGAATTTTGAACTCCAAGCCTGCAATATTTGCCATCTTCGAAACTTTCAAAGCAACGCTAAATATCATCCGGCTGCACGGTGTTGCCAAACTACTATATTTATTCGATTTAACCAGAAAATTATACAAAGTAGGGGTTATGTAGAACTGCTCCTTTCATGTTTCATTAAAAATTTTACCTCTAATATGTTTACTTGCGCACAATCGGCATTTCCAGATCCATTAAAACTAACCTAGGTCTTGAAGAGTCCAATTCCGCACCATCATGTAAGGCCATGTAGGTAGAGATTGAATATTTGGCAACTCACAATTTTGGTATCTATTACCCCGTCTACTAAATACGTAAACAGCAGGATTACCCGCCTTTTTGTTAGGTTTCTCTGACACTTTTCAGTTTGCAGGTCGACATTTCAATTTCAACTTCGCGCGTTATAGGTTAGTGCGTTGTTTATGGTCGGCTGATGGAAAATGACGCGCATGCGCTCGTGCGCGTTGTGTCAGAGCCGCGTATCCGTTCGGCGCGCGTATTGTTGGTTGCCTACGAGTCCGAAACATAACGCGTGAGATGGTCCTTCGTCGATCCAAAACCTCCTATTCGGACATCCCGAGTCGCACCCGCGTCCCCCCCCGCGCCGCTTTGACGACCCCGGAAAATTCCGACATCGGTCGCGACGCCGCGTCGCGTCGTCCTCCGCTGAAAACCGCGTGGGACGGTCAAGATTCGAAGCTCCAGAGGTCGCGGGAAGCCGAATAAAGCACTTTCGAATGTTACATCATATCCACAGGTAGCGCGCTAGAGGCGCGGCCGCCGCCGATGAAAACGAAAATCTAGCAGTCGTCGGTTCATTTCCACGCGGAAGCGACGCGCGGCCGATCGCAAGACTTCAGACGTGTGTTCTTTTTTTTTGTCGGTCGCCTGAAAATAGTACAGTTTTCGACGGCATGGCCGCGGTCGCTCACGTCACCGTTTAAAAAACGCGTTTTGTTTACGTCGTCGGCATCTGCGGTGCGGTAACCCTTTAACTCAGGTAAGGATGCTGCGGCCTCGGGCCACTAGATTTCGGCGTTTTCTCGCGAGCGGGCGTTCCGTCAACAGGTGAAAGTTGAACGGAATTTGTATGCGCCGTGTACGTTCGGACGCGGATAATCGCGGTCGCCGTTGACGGGATAGAGTCGTGTAAACCGTGCCCGTGGCCGATTTCGCAACTGTGACGCGTTTGATGTCCAGAGGGTTGCGTTTTCGCGACCGTTTTACGTCCCGCTAGTCTTCGAAGGCAGACGTCGCGTTTTAAAAGGTACCCGTCGGTTTGACGACTTGTGGAAAAGTTAAATGCTGCAGGGTGATAATGATATTGGTTAAAAATAATACTTTAGCAAAATGTGTCTGATTAGTGAGTTCTCGAAACTGTTTTTTCTTTATAGCCCACGCAGTTTTGGAAATATCGACTTGAAAACTTGGATTCGGGGGTTTTTCGAGATGGCAGGGATTTCTAAATGAAAGAAGGTATCCCGTGTTTAATTCGAATCGTTTGATTTCGATGATTTCTTTTGATTGATTCTTCGGTAACAATGCTACGTCACAAATTATTGTTTAGGCTTTGATTTGGACATATACGCGCAACAATGTATATCAAGGATAGACATATTACTGGCTGGTGTTTTCATTATGCCTGGGCGCATTAAACACTTGAAATTATTTTTCATTCCGTCTTAAACGTTAAAAGCCCTTTTTTTGGATTTATGAATGTCTACGCTAATGTCAATACTCGTAAGCGCAATGAATATCTCGAAAAAACCGTCCAGTTCAAGTTTTTGCGTCGATTTCTTGAGCTTGAGCTACAGAGAAATGACAATTTCCAGGACTAAACTTTAATAATTTTCAATAGAAAATTGCAGAAAATACTTTAAATAAAACAAAAACATTATACTATTAAATAGCACTTGTCCATATAACGAAAATTTGTTACAGTAATAATAAAAGAAAATGCAAAAGGAATTAATTATCGTTTAGACTATTATCTAGACAATGTGCACAGTTAAAGTTGAGACACGTTTGATTAATTGGCGATCTCACCATCATATAGGTGTTTAATATACAGTGTGTCCAAGTCCAATATCTGGCTCTCCTCTCTGATTTTCGAAATTTTTCGAATATTTCCGGAAGTAATCGGAATTTTCTTGATGTAGAAACTGTGTTAATTAAATTAAGCACCAAAACACCCAACTTTTCCCCCATTCAACCATCATCACATCTCTTACGGAATTTGGTACACCCTGTAGACCCAAAGTTGTTCGGATTGTTTTTTGGATTTCTAGATACAGGCGTAAATTTAAAGAAAATCTTAAAAAAGTTCTGAATCTTTTTTTTTACTATACAAATATGGTGTTTTCTTTATAACCACCCTGTAACTCTTGGCATTGTTAAGTGGTTTTCAGGAATATGGAAATTTGTCCGTATTGTCTAAGATGCTTTAGTTGTCAAACAGTCGTGACATTTCGTAATTAATATTTTAATTTTGGCCTCGTCTTCCTTCCAAAATATGCTAATTATGGAAATGGGATATAAACGGGGTCCATTATCAATGCGTATTTAATTCTGCCCAAACATAAGTTTATTTTGTACTTTTTGTACTAAATTATGTGATTTATTTAGGAAAGAACAAAAAATAAAATTAAAGATGTTTAAATATATTTTGTATTTGGAATAGCCTGTATGCATTATGTATTTTTCCAAAGCTAATAACAAGTCTAATAAAATTATCAAAAGACATATATCTAAAAGCCAAGAACTGTCTAAAAATAGGACATAGTGTACTGTCCCCATAGTCCACAACTGAACTAACTAATAAATCCGCAAAAAATATATATTTTGATTAATATCATTTTTTAAATTTTAAGATGGAACGTTTGAATCGAATGCCGACACTGATTGTGCTTAATAGCCCCCAATGGAACCACATTAAATGTAAATTGACGAGAGAAATAATATTAAAATTTATATTGCTTTGTCCAGAGTCCGCCTCTAAAGTGCTAATTAATTAAGCGCGTATATAGCGAATGTTGCGACGTCAGCAATTGTTTCGAGGAAACGGTGCTGGTCGCCATTATTGGTTTTAAATTTTCCCCGTATTCGCTCTTCCACGTTTTAAAAAATACATTGCTGACAACGGCAAGCTCGTTATCAGTTCACAAAACCAATATCACCCTTTTATGGGCGATAGAATGACCGGTATAGTGCTTTCACAAATAAATAATTTAGATGGTAAATTATTCCATAATTAAGGACTCTTTAAATTGCCATGACGACTCTAATAGTGCAAACAATTGCTTTTATAACAGAAAAAGTAGACAAAAAGGAGTCCCCCGAAACCAATCCCCCCGTTCTTTGGGCGATAGAATGGCCGGTATAGTGCTTTCACAAATAAATAATTTAGATAGTAATTTATTCCAGAATTAGGGACTCTTTAAAACGCCGTGACAATTCTAAAAGAAAAGACAACTTCGACTTGTCTAGGGTCTTTGACACCATCGGTCACCGCCTGTTAAGAAAACTATATATATATATCACTAAAAATACACAAAAAAATACATTATTATTTCAAATCAATTGCCCATACAAAGCATGAATTCCATCTGTATGGAACCCAGGAAAATGGCCTCGATACACGTTCCATTACATAAAAAGTGAACTACAGCAAGATGGGAAAACTAGCGAACACTGTCACTGACTAGATCGCCAAATACCTCAAAACAGGCAGGTTTTGTGAAGGGAAAAGGAAACAGTGTGCAAATGGCTAGAGAATTTAAAGTACTCGTAATAGTTGCGTTATTTTCTATCATAAAAACTTTGGACTATTCTAATAAATATGGGCTGTCGTATCCATCTTGTAACCGTTATACAGGATTTCTACTAATCAAACATAGGATTTCAAAGGAAAGAATTAAAGATAAAAACTAAATTATTATCAATATGTCCACACCAAGTCCACACAACAGTTTGTTCGGCCATGTGGCTCGCAGAAATGAACATAACCTAGAGAGACCGATCATCTTAGAAAACATTCCTGGAAAAAGAGCAATAGGTAGATTGCTAATCAGGGGGCTGACGAAGTTATACAAACGGAGTACCTCAGGGCACACTGTCATGTCCCATGCACTTTGTTCTGTACATAAGCTTCCAGAAGGGAGTGGGGGACTCCTCTGTTACTATAAATGAGTGCCCTATATGTCCCAGCAAAACTATCTGAGCCTGAAAACAGACAAAACAGTTCCCATTGTTTTTGAGAAGTAATTTATTAAGAATTACCCTTATGTGTAAGCTTGAACGGCAAGTCAAAGTAGAGTCCAAAACTATTTAATTCCTTCTTGGAGTGATTTTCGACTCCTCACTTAATTGGGAGGATCACTTAAATGCTCTGTGCTCAAGCCTAAACAGTTTTTAGGATTGGAGACAGCATCAGAACTATTCATTTTGCAGAAAAATGGGTTTCTTCCAAGCGCACAATCAACGCTTTCAAAACGCAGAGAAGATTTATTAGATGCATTCGCAAGCTGCATCCCAGCACTTCCTGCAATCCTTATTTTGACATTCTAGGTATCCTTACTATTGCTTAGCAACAACTCTGACATTATGCCATGTCAATGAGGAACAGATCCCAAGATTCCTCAGCTACTGTTGTAGTAATGAACAGCTGAAGCTATTGCAGTGAACTATACAAGGTGTTTCAAAACCAATGCGAAAAACTTAAACTTGTTTAAAATAAAGGGTATTCTGCTGGGCCAAATATGGCGGGAAAATAATGTTTTTACTTTTTATCTTAACAATGAAAATAGAAAAAACAACAAAATATTATTGACTTGTTATTATAATTGAAACACACTTTCTGCATTTTTAAAAATTTTTATAATGATGGAGATGATCATTTTTCTTAATCAAATTTAAGAAAAAAACATGACAGAAAAGTTATATTTGTATGCTGATGTATAAATATATAATAGTAACTTTTGTAATGAAGCTGGCAAATTGTTTTTCCCTGTTATTGAGTAAGTAAAACAGTTTCACTAATTTCATTTTTTAAGTTTTTCGCTATCGAAGATTCCAGAGTCAGATAGTCAGCAAAGCTGGAAATTCAAAATTACGTGATTTATTTTTTTTAAGTCTTAAAAAAATGAGTTTTTAGAAGTTTTATAAGTATTCAGCAGAAAAAAGTATACTTTTGGTTAGTTAGCAGACGGGATATAGTTCAATCCTATGGAGCACATATTGGCACTAACTTTTCTCTTCTGCTTCTTCCACTTTAAAATCTTGATTTTATAAAAAAAAGATGCTAAATGCGACAAATGTTAAAATTCTTATAACACTTAGGCGACGAACAGCCCTCAGCGAGCCAAAACTTTTTATATGAATGCTCTATCTATGTAGCAAAGCATACTTCCGTATGCAAATGATTGTGTGAAATCCTAATTTTTTGTTTGTAATTTGGATAAACATTTCTTCATGAGGAAATAGTTCCGAGCAAATTCTCTATATTCAAACATTTAACAGTATTTCCTAGTATTTGCCTGTACTTGTTTTTCCCCATACGTCCTCATATGTCAGCAGTATACACATCATCAGGCTGTCATGTCACATTTGACAGATCACAGTTTGTTTTGACGTCCACTATGGGATCTAAAGGCAGGTTGATGCAAAAATTTTAAGTAATACAAATTAATTCGCGTATTTTTAAGAGTTTAAGTGTTTCTGCCTTGTTAATATCTGATGGTTCAGTGTAGCTGTAGCTAAGAGACATTCTCCTCGAAATTTTTCGAATATATCTCGCAAAACATATATATTGTGCTTATATTACATAGGTAGGGAGTATTTAGGATTTTATTCAATTTTATTGTTTATCATTGTTTGTTCTCGTAATTATTATCCTTAAAAAACTTTTAAGAAGACGCAACTTTTATCTAATTTAAAGATGAAAAGATAATTTTTAACTTGTAAGTAACAACTTTAAAATGCAAGAATTGGAAGAAATTTATA